CACCTACACCTCCCTCTCTCCCTTCAACCTCCGCTCACACTCGATTCTTTGGCGAAATAAGAGTATCCTCGCCGCTCGATCGGCGAATTCAATTTGCATCTTGGCTTCTATTTACCGCCTACCTTTATTGTCGTTCGGTCTTGTCTCCGTTGAAGTGGGTGGGGTGGTCTTCGATTTCGATAAAATACTTCCCTACGCGTTTGATGTCGTAGGAAGGGGATTAGTCGCGGGAAAATATCTTTTCTATGATAAGGGGGTTATAAGGTAATTATTTTACACGTGATTAATCATTTTGATAGGATAATGTAAAATATTCGCGATAAATTTTTAAAATTAAAATTACGATTGATTTTGTGCAAGTATAAATTTTACGGTATCTACTTTTTAAAGATAGATTATAGTGGATTATAGTGGATATTAGATTTATAAATTAATTTATTAAATTTTATTTTTTATAAATTTTAGATTTGTATATAAATATTCTCTATTTTTAATTCTTTTTAGTTTTTTAATTCGAGATTGGGGAAACGAAGATTTCTTTTTAACCGATAATCGAACAGGTAAACATTTAAATTATTAATAATTGATATTTATTTAAATTAATATATTCGATAATTTTTATTTAAAAAATAAATTTTTTAAATAAATCTATTTAATTAATATAATAATTAATATTAAAAAATATAAATTAATATAGAAAAGAAAAAATACGATTGATAAATTTAATAAATTTTAATATTAATTAATTATTCGATTATTATATTATATAAATAAATTAATAAATTACATTTATTTCGAAATTTATAGTACGCACGGTTTACTTATCGATATGCTCGAAGCGCGCGACCTACGTTTGCCCGCTGAGCTACGGTTACCGAGTGGGGATGAGTTAAGCCAGTTTTGTTTCGACGCTTGTACTCTTTGGACGCGTAGTAATTTACGCATTTTAATTTCGTTTATAATTTAAAATTGTGCATGAATTTTGCATCTAAAGTACTCGCGTATTATTTTTAAGTGTTTTCAATATATACGTTCTATTTGTAAACGATTTTCAGTACGTTTATTCGCGTAGTGATAGTTTTTTACATATTTTTCGTGTTTAAAGCGAATACGTTTATCGCGAGTGTTTCGATCGAAAGTACGTTTTATTCGAAAGTGTTTCTTCGCGATAGTTTCGCGTTTTTTATTCGCGAGTGTTGGTAAATTTCGTCGATTACGATGGATCAATTGATGGATAGAAGGAAAGCGTTGAAGGAAGCCACAAACAAGCTGTATAAATGCGTGAAAGCTACGAACGGTAAGTTGCATGTTTTTTGGTACTGGTGGTGGTATTTTTTAAAGTATTAGTTTGTACAGGAAGTATAATAATTTCGAATATTTCGATATTCGTGTATATTGATATTTATTTGTTATTTATTTTATTATTAGTTTAGTTTTTTATTACTAGTTTGATATACGAAATACATTTTTATTTCGTATTTCATTCACAACGTATTATATTTCGTATATAATAATTTCAAAATTTTTTATTTTCATTTGTTTATATTCTTATATCTGCGTCGAATTTCGTGACTCAGATATAAGCTGTTATGGTCTTCTATATGTAAACACAGCACATCGCGAGGAAAAAATTGTTTCTTAATAATTCGGAGAATCATCTTACGAATATTAAAAACATCTTTCTAAAAATAATCAAGAGATGGCGCTAAGAGTGAGTTTTTCACTCTCTTTATCCTTTTCCTATCGTTTTTTATCCTTTCTTTACGTGTTTCATTTGTGGCACTCAGGAGATGGCGCTAATTTCACCATTTCTACCATATCTCTATCCTTCTCCTTCACTTATTTTCCTTGTCTATCCTTTACAAATTTATGCGTTTTAAAAATACCTAATTAACTTTATTGCGTCGTTGTCCAAGTTAATGATTAAAAATTAACAAAATTTACGTTAAAATTTGCGTTAAAATTCATTTCTTATATTTTTAAATATTAAAAATTATTTATTAGATTCTTTAAATTATATATAAATGATATCAAAGCTTTAAATATTAGAATCTCGCGTATCAAATCAAATTTTCCTTAGATACAAATTCTTGGACAACGTATCAGCAATTTCCTTCCCTTTCTTTCCTTCTTCCTTCCCCTTCTTAAATGAAACTTTTAAAAAGCCGTGGAATCATCTTAGGAGGTTGAGGAAATTTAGGAATTTAGGATTGTAATAAATGAAACGACGTTGATTTATATTTTATCGTGTTTTAATAGTAGTCATATTCAAGATCATTGCAAGAATCATTCTTCTCGACTTGATTACGCCTTAGATTATTATAAAACGATTAGAAGCCACGTATTATTTTCCCTTCTTTTTTTTTTTTTTTTTTTTCGAATCGTTACACTCCTTGCTTTACGGGTTTACGCGTTTCTCTCGATTACTCGGAAAAGAAGATTAATTAATTGCGCTTTTACTTTCGTCGATGAGAGAAAGCCAATTCGACGCGACGATCGCGCAAAACGAACGACCTAGATATCGATTGGCTGATTGATATTCAATCGGAAGAGAGGCAAAAATGCGAGGTCTCTCAAGTAACAAGAACAGTATGAAGGAAATAGAACGGATTTTAATAATTTTTAAATGCAATTATTTTAACATCTCGCGATATAGATAACAGGTTGTTCGTTAAAAACGTTTCATTTCGTAATTATCAAAGATCAAACATCATCGATTTTTCTCTTCTTTATCTACGCGTACGTAATGTTGAAATGAAAATGAAACGCGAAAATAAAATCGTCGTAAATTCTATTCTATTCTATTGAACAATATCAAACAATTTACAATGCAATTTGATGAAAACTTTGACAAAAAATGGCAGCGATAAAAAAGTTCGCAATCCTTCAGAAACTTGGCGGAATCATGATCAGTAAAATGTGACAGGCTTTCGTCCCTGTTTCGACAGCTTGTCTCGTTGTAAAAAGAGAGCAATCGTGAAACTTTTCCATTTCAACTTGCACACGTTTACAGTAACGTAATAAAAGACGTGAAGGTATAGACTCGTCGTTGGAAGTGTATAAAACTCGATCAGAATCTCTGAAGTTTGCGAGAATACTATTACGAATGCATTAAGTTATTCCACGCGTAATTCACTTTATTTCGATATATATTTTTTAATTGGAAATAAATTAACGAAAATTTTATCTCGTTAATTTTATCAAATTTCTTCCGTTTCTCTTGTTATAAAATTTCTGTCGTGAATATAATTTCGACCGCATTAAATTCAACAGAGAAAATTCATTATTTATGGAATAACTTGATGACTTGATCTTTTTTGTTTCCCTTTTATTCGATCGATTTTTATCTCATCGAAGATTCGACAACGCGCCTTGTTATTTTTTTTTTTTTCTTTTTTTTATTCTTTCTGTAAAAAGGGAAGCACGATGTATTTAATTTATAGATTTAAAGGATCGTTCGATAAGACTTATGTGAATATTCAGCCCTATCACCGTATTTTTTAAATCGTATTATAATCTATCGGATAATTTAAGAAGAGATTTCGATAGCGAACCACTAAGCTTACGAGCGTCGCGCGATTAAACTTTAGTTTGGCACTTGCATTCATGAACTTGATTTATTTTTCTTTCATTTGTTCTATTTATTTTTTTATTTTTTTTTCTTTTTTACGCGGATTTCGACATACCGTAATCACACCTTCATCCCGTTTCTTTTCATTTTTTTTCCTTTTTTTTTTTTNTTTTTTTTTTTTTTTTTTTTTTAACTATAATCACTCGAGGAAATATCCAACTCACTTTTATACTCTCTTACATATATTCATTCTCACTTTTTTAATCTCTTTCAACCGGTCCACAATTCTACGTAACTCAGGCCTAGCTTCGTTTATCGTTACGTCGTTTTATAGTCACGATTCGTGTGGATCACACATCGACTGTCGCGAATATCTTTTTCTTTTCTCTCGTTTTTTTTCTTTCTAAATTTTCTCAAATGTAAATTTATATTTTGACGAAATCTCGTCAGAAATCCAATTTTTTTTTCTATACTACTTTATTCACGTACGATTCGTAGGAATTTTAATAACGTTTTCGACATTAGGGAAGGCAGGCAGAAGAAATAGTAATAAACGTTATAGTTGAAGAAATTTCGAAACGTCATTAAAATTAACGATGCTCTCATCGGCGAGAATTAGAAACGGCAGTCGACGTGTTTAACATTTAACAAAAAGGATTATATAAAAACTTAATCGGACATAAATATTCGATTTATACGTATTGATCTTGCACGTATAAATTCTACGTATTGCGCTCATTTATATATTTTATGTATATATATATATATATTTTTTCGTTTTCATTAATTTTTTTTTCTCAATTCTTTTCAACTATTCCCTGGTTTTTTCTTTTTTTTTTTCTTTTTTTTTTTTTTGCTTTTCCTTATTTTGGTTTAATTCGTCGAGCTCATAAACGTTCAACAACGTATCCTACTATACTTAATCGAATTAATATAATAATAAAACGTGTAGTAAATATAATATATATAATTCTTATATATCGTGTACGTCGACAAACCATTGAAGTTTTTACCTAATTAACATCTTAATCGTGTTACATCTTCCGACTAGATCGATCATATTGTTATTATAATTATTATTATTATTATTATTAGGGTTATCGTTTATTAAATGTTAATTATTATTATTATTATTATCGCTAATTACATTAGAAATTTGGCGCATTTATTTTATTTTATTTTATTTTATTTTATTTTTTTCATTTGGCATTTGTTCATTTTCGCATCGATAAATAAATTCGTCCAATTTGAGCCAGACGAGCGTATTGTAATTATATTTTTTTCGTTTTTCGATACACCATTCATTATATTATTTTATTTCTTTTTCTTTTCGCGTTTTCTCGAAATTTAATGTCGCGTTGAATTTTTCTCTCGTATCAATGATAATATACATATATATATATTTATATATATATATATATAGAAATATTTAATAATGAAAACGTGAAACGATGAGCTTTTTTTTCTGTTTTAATCTTCCTTTTTTTCCCTTTTTTTTTTTATTTCGTTATCTCGATAATTTTAATTAATTTCGTAACCAGTGCGATTACCGGCAGATTGTTGTACATACAGGGAGCATTTTGTACATAAATATTCCTAGGTACGTAAGCTTGCGTTTTTTTTTTTTTTTTCGTTTCATACAAAAAGAGAAGAAACAATCGGAGCAGTGACTTATTCCGTTACAATGTATTGTCCACAAATTATATATTTTATTCTTTCGTTTAATTATCGTTAATGTTAACCGGTGATCCATCGAGGAGAGAACGATGAATTGTACGAACGAACGAATTCTTTACCATTCATTCCTATTCCAAAAATAGAAAGTTCGCGTTTACGTTATAATATTATTGGCAAACGAAATTCTCACTCAAATGATTTTACCATTGAAATCAATACAAAATTTTACACGCTTTTTCGACACAATGTTATCGATTTCATCGATTCTTATTCACATATCGCCCCGTCGTATCAATCATCCTTTAACAAACTTTAACAAACTTTAACGAACGCAATTACAAAAACTTTGGAAGAAGGGTTCGCGTTTGAGAAGCGCGTTGAAGAATCGTTTGAGAAGGAGAAATATATCAAGACCTTTGTGCAGATTTTCGGTGCAGCGAAAAAATTTCGATTGTTTCGATTTGTTCGAGTTCCATATATCCGTGAAATGATATTCGGTAAAATGAACCGGTGAATTGTTGTCTCGATTCACACACGATCTTCTTCTTTACGGAGTTACGGAGTTTATACGGAGATCAAAGTGCACGCCTCGAATATCCCACACTTCGTCCTGGATTCAAGGTTCCTCGACACCTCGATGACTTCCGGTTCATCAGGTGGCGGTGCAGGAGTGACACCCAATCGTGCTCGAAACGAGATATTCGCCTGCTACTGTATGGAACACGTCAATGGATGTGTCAAAGCATGGTCCAGTAGAATAGGTGTCCCCGCAGCCAATTCCGTCCTCGCGTCGCCGAAATCGTCATCGCAGTCGAAATAATTACTCTGGAAAGAAGACGAACGAACGTTAATCAACGTCACGCGATGCAATAATAATAATAATTTTCCTCTTATTGATTCATTTTACCAACGTTTAAAAATAGGAAAATAATATGAAATACGGACGAGAAATTTGCAATTGGAAATTTTGGCATGGAATAAATTTGAGACGGGATAATCGATAATTAATTCGACATAATTATTTTTTGAAGTTTCGATCAAGCTCATAGTTGCAACATTTTAACGTTGAAAATTTTTCGATGAATTGACATCTTGAATCCCTTTGACGATTAATTTCCGAGATCAAAGCTTTTTGACATTCAATTTCTCGGATCAAAGTTTTTTTCATCATCGAACCTCTAATGTCAAAGCTTTTTTGTTATCGGCCTCTCAAGGTCGGAGCTATTAAACACCCCCACCCCCGACAGATACGAAGACCATTTCTCTCGGCCGTCCATTAAAAGGTCGAAGGTTCGAGGTTCGAAAGTCGGGGCAAAGGAAAATGTTAACCTTGGGAATTCTATGTCAGCCTTGGAAAGCCACCCCTGTGATGTGAAAATCCCGTGACCGTAAACGAGAGCGAGAACGGCCGCTTTTGTCAGAAACGAGGGATACACGAGTGAATTGAAAACCAAAAAGTCTCATTTAACAAGTTTCCGTGTATATCGTTTCGTGGAAAGGAAGGGAGAGATTTTCTATTCTCGTCGTTGGAACGCCTCCATCCTAGACGATTGTTCCATACGCGCGAACTCGAGTCGCCGAAAAATCTGTTACTCGATAAAATTTTTAATTAAATTCCGACGATCGTCGACCGAGTCGAGTTTCATCCCCACGCCCACCATTGGCCCCATTGGAACGCCAGCTGATCCGCGGCCAAAAACTAGGGCAAAGAAATATTTACGCGCTTGGCCGAGAAAATGGGCAATCAATGGAAACCGCCCCGCCATAATTGGTATACAGGGGGTTAGACAATTATTCCCGAAATCGAGACAATATCCCTTTAATTTCCAAGATTATTCTCGCCGATTCGAGCTAATTACACGAGACCGTGAATAGATGCAATTACGCCGCTCTATCTTAATCGCGATTACAAAAGGGAAACTGAATTTCTATTTGAAATTTCCCTCCTCGCTCCAAGGATTCATTCGCGCCTTGCGAACCAACCATCTTCCGTGAATAATCCAGAAAACAACTTTTTTATTAACCGCGGGATATTTCATCATATGCGAATTGGTTTTGACGAATGATTTTTTTTTTTAAAGAAAAGTAAAACGTAAAAAAGGATTTTCGAAATTTTTTATAATTTACATATTCGGTATTATGTATTATTTGTATACGTGATCATTTTGAATTTTGATTAATTTTTTCGTTATAATATGTTAAAAATATATTGAAGAAACAGAAACCAGGAATTCGCAACAAGATTTTTATCAACTTTTTTATTAATCGCGGGATATTTCATCATATGCGAATTGGTTTTGACGAATGATTTTTTTTTTAAAAAAAAGTAAAACGTAAAAAAAGGATTTTCGAAATTTTTTATAATTTGCATATTCGGTATTATGTATTATCGATACACGTAATCATTTTGAATTTTGATTAATTTTTTCGCTACAATATCGAATACGTTAAAAATATATCGAAGAACGAAACGAGGGATTCGTGACAAGAGTTTTACCTGGCAATCGATGCATCGACAGCTATCGGTCAACGAACAGGTAAGACCGAGGATCTCGGCGGCTTCTTTGTACAGCTCCGCGCTCGATTTCCGTTGCCTTGGAGGTGTCGCGGGCGCGCTCACTGTACCCGATAGTCTTCTACCTCTCTTCAGCCTCGAAGAGGACTCTCGAGACAAGGAGGAGGTCGACGTCGATCCTCTCCGCCGATTGTCACTGGTAAGTAACGCTCGACCCGCCGGCGAGGCGAACAATTGCAACATGTCCATGTCCTGAAACCAGATGTTAATCCTTACCCTCGAATTTAATTAATTTCCATTTCATATTATTTACACACAACAAAGATTTCATCTCTCGTTAATTTCGCGTTTATTTTACGTAGCTCGCGCGCTACGTCAAATACTCTTATTATATAATAACGTTCGCGGTGAAAAATCTTGATCCTCGATTTCGAAGATCAATCAAAAATTAATTTTCTCCCGAACGTAAGATTAATTCAATTAATATTCGGTTATTTTGATCCGGGATGTTAAAAATAATTCAATAATTCGGGGGAGGGGGAGCAAATTCGTTATTATTCCCCGTTCAAATTCCTCAAATTATCGTTTTAATCGGCCCGCCATCGTCCCGTTTAATTACAAGCTTTATCAAAATATTCGCGCGAGATATTAAATTATTATCGTGCGGACGCGTCTACAAAGAGTCGCTTCAACAAACAACCCCTCCGAAGGGGTTGATTGGCTTTTGTTAAGGGTGTCGGTGGTTGTTTTTTGCGCGTCTGCATCGTTGATACTCGCTGGTCCGGAGTAGTACTCGCCTCCCTCCCGGAAAGGGCATTATTCTCTTAACGAGGTAAGACGCACGGGCGAGTGCTCTTGTCTCGTTCGTTTCCTCGTATCGGCGACGGAAGCCTTCTCCTCTTTGAGACTTTTTCACCGCGAGCACGCCCAAGGCGAAAAAAAAAAAAAAAAGAAAAAGGATTTTTCTAACGATGCGACGATGTGCAGCATCCAAATGTCCGTGCACCCTTTCTTCCTACCACCGACAGAAAAGAAAAGGAATTCTTTATTCTTTGGTGCATTGTCAAAGGAGAGCGAGACGAGAGTATTCTCCATTTCCTCTTTTAATCCTTTGACACGTCGGATGTTTCGGGGCGATTAATGTTAGATAAAAAATAGAGTAACTTTTACTCTCTCTCTCTCTCTCTCTCTCTCTCTCTCTTTTACTTCATTTTTTCGTGCGTCACGATAAATTAATTTCGCGAGAGATTCGTGAAATTGTTATTTGCAAAAAAGAGAATTTGCGAAATCTTTAAAGAGAATTAATTTAAATAGAACGATTGATGTCGTTGGTGAAAAATCAAGTTCGATTTGGGCGTAGATACAAAAACTTACGACTCGTTTAAAAGAGGGAGGGGGGGGGGGGAAGAAAAAGAAAGGAAAGAGAGAAAAAAATAAAAACTTGGTTTTGAAACTGAAAGTAGAAAGGTTGGTTCAAGAATGGGTAACTTAATCCTCGACTCCTCCTGTTCACTCCGTTAATTAGCAAGCCTCAAAAGGGTGCTCGCGTAATTCTTTGCCCTAATTTGCATAATACCATAACAAGCAACCACGGATTTTACCATGGAAATTAGAAATTACAGCCACTTTAAACCGTTCTGCCCGCTTGATGAAAGGGATCTGTGTGATTTTCCGCGCCAACGAAAATATTGAACTCCAAGAACCGCACCTTCACGAGCGCGCTTTAAACCAAGCCCTGTACAAGCGTTTTAAAACAAGCCTTGTCCGAAAACTTCTCCTCTGTTTCCCTCTTGATCGACGCGGTTGATGATCGAATTTTACGTAGGAGGGAGGGTGGCTCGCTTAATTATCGGATCATTAAAAAACCCAGCCTCCTGGGGTTAATTCACCCCACGGGACAAACGCGTCTATTAAAAAGAGCGAGAACTATTTCGCTGGAAGAAAATAATTGGAACTGGATGCCCGACTTACGTGCGAAGGAACTCGTGAAGATTTTCACACGCGTCGTGATAATTTGACGTTGATAAGCGACAAAATCCGGCGACACGATGAAAAATATTTTCCACCGAGGTGGCTGGTTACGTGGCGGGGTACGCTCGTTTTATCTCAGAGATATTTCCTTCTCTGAAAAAATTCAGACGGAATTAGCGAGGAGGATGAGACGAGTTTACAGGATTACAGAATCAGAATTATCGGAAATCTTCTTTTTCGCTAAGAGTTTAAAATTCGCGTACCCAATTCGACCATCGTGGTTTTATTAATTTGGCAACGATAAATCGATCGTTAAACTAGCACGTCGCGCGAAAAAAGTAAATTTTCTATAATAAGGGGAGAGGGAGGAGGGAAGGAGGAGGCTGCTGAATATTGAAAAGGGCGATAATGAAATTGTTAGAAAATCGTGAATCATCTGGACGTTCCCGTAACTTCTTTACCAAGTTTAAACTTGGAAAATGCGTCGTAAAAGCATGGTCGGAACGTTTTTAAGAACGTTTAGAGAAGATTGTGCGAGTAGTTAAGAGTGCATCGATCGTGCAATTTAAATCTGACTTGATTTTGTATAAAATACATTTAAAGAAGAAGAAAATATTTGTATCAAAGTGGAAAAAAAGGAACAAGAAAACGAAAACGCGTAAACAAATTTTTGCATTTCTTTCTATCGACGTACAAAATATCGGATAAGCACGTTTTCATAAATCACGGTTCATAAAACACGGTTCTTCGGAATCAAGATTCTCGACGACGAAAAGAACGTGACAAATCCCTGTGCAAAAAAAAGAGGAAGAAAGAAAATAATCATAATACCATTTGTATTATGATTATATATATATACATATAATTATTCAAATGCAAATTCATCTCGGCGTTACATCATTATTAAATCCGATATTTGCGATAATTTCGAAGTGAAACCTTTTCGCGCAATTATTTTATCGCGATGATGTTTGCGTACGTTATCGAGGCCGGGTCGCGAAATCTCAGCGGAATCGTGCAATCGGAGAAAGCATGGAAAATACACGTGGGTTAAAAGCCTTTTTGCCCCGGGGCCCCAAGCTTTCCAACTATTATTAACCATAAACGTTCAGTGAAAGGGGAGAGGATGCGCTTTTAAAGCACCGTGGTTCACCGGCACGGAATCTTCGCTGAAAACGATTCCGCTGTTCCACCAGAAAGAGTTTTAATGCGTTCCCCGCTATTTGCTCTCCACCAAAGAATCGTAAAAATGATTCGACTCGATCCGCCTCTCGGTTAAGAAGTTTTTCTGTATATAATCTCTCGCCGCTTGAACGTTGGACAAACGTTAACAAACGTTTCGATTTCGTTGGATTGGAGAGAAATTGAGAAAAATCGAGATCCGTATTTAATTTCGCGTTTACTTTGTACTTGTTTATATGCATGTGCATACGCATGGTATACATATAAACGCGCATAACTCGATTATAATTCCGCGATTGACGGAAGATCGATCAAGCTCTATCTATCACAGACTTGTACTTGTCACCTATAGGAATGTCGAAGAGTCTTTTTATCCTTGGCGAGGAGATATTATAAAAAATTGGAAGTTTTCGATAGATCTGTAACGATATTTGATCGTGATTCCGCAATTGACAGGAAATCAATCATAAAGGTTTATCATGGTAGATTTATCCCTTGTCGTTTCTCTTGTCAATCGCGTGAAATGTATAATAAAAAACGTTTTATCCTTCACGCGAGAGAATTGAACAAAAAAAAAAAAAAANAAAAAAAAAAAAAAAAGAAAGAAAGAAAAAAATTCGAGATTCAAATGTTGTACGATCAGCATTGAAACGTATCCATGAATCGCGATTAATGTCTTGTTGATCACTCGTCGAATTACGAAGAGTAATCGAAAAGATTCAAAGTTTCGATGTTTCCATCTTTTGTTTTATACATTTTCATTCGCGAGAAGAGAATACGTCTTTGCACTTGCACACAGGGATAAATCTTGATTAAATGATTTTTTCCAGAGTTGGGGCAAACTTTGACTCGAGGCTGCTCGTATTTGAAATGATTCCGGAAGTTTCTCTTCATCAGGGTGGAAAGAATTCTTCTCTTTGGTCCGCGGTGCAAAGAGTTAATATTTGGCCGGCTGGTCAAAGTTTAAGTCGTTCCGGGAGACTAACTCACGGCAGATTTAAGTTTCGTGAACGGTGTTGGGGGAGTAGATTAGAACGGAACCCGTTGAAAATACGACGGAAGGGAGGAATATGAATGCAAAACTGACAGTTTTATTTGTCACCGCGTCAGGGATACCGAAACTTTCGAAACTGGCGAAAATATTCTGGCAACGTTTCGTCGTTCCAACTCCCTTTGAGAAATCTTAAATATTCTTAAGATTAAATTTTCCTTCCTTCGAACATCAATCCCTATTCATACCTATCGAATCATTTCTTAAACATTTATAACGCGGAATTACGTACGTATTCTCTCTTTCTCAATTCACCTAACGTCGAAATCTTCGCGTCGACTCGCAGAGGAAAAGATTTTCGTATCCCAGTAGTGACGTTTGTCGAATAAGAAAGAAAAGAAAAAAATCAGCGTAAAATATCAGAAGATTGTTTCATGGTCCGAACGGACCCTTTCCCCCATTCGAGCAATTGGCCGAATCTTTATTTCCACCGCGGCTAAAGAAGCCCCCGGAGGAAACGTCGTCCCCAGAATCCACGGACAAAAGAGTGAGCGAGTGGACAGAAAATGGCAAAGGAATCAAATGCCGGGAGATAACAAGGAGAAAGCTGATTCGATGTGCCCGGGCCAGTGTCCACTATATTCCACCGGGAAACGTATCCACGTCTCTCGTATTTCGTTCCTTACTCGCGCCAACTTTCTCCTGCAATCCTTCGCCACTGATAAATAGCTCGGCCGAGAAGGGCGAGTTAACAGCGGCTACGATCCTTTTTCCACGGAAATTCCTTCCATCTGCGATATACGCGTTTCGAATCGATCGAGAACACCTTGAAATTCACGAGTCACGTTTGATGGAAATTTCGTGTTCACGCGGAAAATCAGATATTCCCCGATTGAAAGCTATAACGTTACCGTTTCAATCAAGCGGAAGGATCGAGTTACGTGACGTTTAACCGCCATTATGGATCGAATTTTTTCTCGAATAGTTTCCTCTCTCCACTTTTTTTTTTTCATTCCATTCCAACCGATGGAAGAAAGGAAAGTTGCACGTTTTAAGCTTCGATCGATTAGGTAATCGAACCGATTTCCTTCGTTGCTGATATTTCCTTCCTTCAGGTGGAAATAAGAGGTTTTTAACGATAGACGTTGCGACCCGGGTCGCAGGATCGCGAAATCTATCGTTTCTATAACGGTTACCCAACTGTGCTAAGATGTTTATCAACACGCCTATCCCGGAATGAATTTACTTCCGCCAAGTTTCCAGGCTGCTGCTCTCCGAAAGTTTCTCCGTACGCCGGTGCACACTGTCAATAGGGTTCCGTGTTTGCGAAAGCCCATCGGTAAATATTTCCATCAATCCCCACTCTGTCGATCCTTTTATTCGTTTCTTTTTATTCGGATCGAGAAAAAAGTTTCTTGGAAACTTTCTAACGGGGGTAGATTTGTACAGGGTGATGCATTCGTTCGACGTTTTCATTTTGTTTCTCGTTATATATATAATTATCGCGTATCTTGCTCGTCGAGTTCTTCATTTCTTCGATGTAATTCACTTATCACTGCAGATTTTTACACATTTAAAGCGTACGCGTCAGTGAGATCTATCCAACTATTGTGCCATGAAAAAAAAAAAAATGTAAACGAGTAAAAGAGTTTTCTTTTGCGCGTTAACGTTCGAGTATCGTCAACAATATGCACAGTTGTTTTGGATTTCATTGTGTTTTTCACTGTTTCACATTTGTTTTTTCTATCAATATATAAAAAATTCCATATATGCCATCATTTTTCTTTGATTTAACATTAGTTAAATCATCCAAAATTTGAAGACTATGAATTTTTACGAATAATTCTATAAAGATTATGCAGTATGCAGAACGTAAGCTGCCAATCAACGAATGTGGTCACACATTTATAAATATCACACAAGAACAAAAATAATTTTACCAACCTTTCGACGTTTTCAATTTTCCTTTCAACTCTCCCCTTCCTTTCAACTCTGTTCCCATTGCAAGTGAAATATTTTTCACGCATCGGACCAACTCCGGAATAAATTTATTTACGGTGCGTGAAATACAAACGCAATCCGGATTAAACGACATGGCAAACACTTTATGCTACAAGCTAATTAACGCGAATACGACTGATTGATCGATTCAATACGGAACGGCGAGATGCCGGAAATTCAATGTCTATGTCACCACGGCGGGATCGAGATCCCACCCCCTCCGAGATTCCTGCAAATTACATTCAGTCTTGTGTACACGGTACACGAAACATCGTGTACACCTATCCGTATACACGGATAACCCAATACACACGCAAACAGGCGAGCTTCCACGGTTCCGTACTTAAAGTCCACGATTTACTTACACGTACGCTGCCTTAGTTAGGAATATTCTATCTCTACCGTTTCGAGAAATATGAATAATGATATTTCATCGTATCTTGTTAGCAATAAATTGGAATATTTCAATCTCTACAAAGTTTGTACGTGGATTGGAATTTCCTATTTTAATTGATGACGACGAATTGATCGCAACGTCAAATGAATCTTTCCAATAAATGGAGACGCACGTTTTCTATTTTTCTATTTTTTTATTTTTCGCTGTTTTACAAGTACGCTTTTCGTGCGCTTGTCAAAATTCGATATATTAGGTATCATCGAGCTTTAAATAAAAGATAGAAGATTCCTCGAGTTAATATTCGCGGTATTGAGCCTCATTATTCAAATATTATTCGAATAAATTTTCCACTCGTGTCGCAACAAATATAAATTAAAAAAAAATATTTCATCGAAATGAGCGACGAAAAGAACGATAGAACGAAGGCAACGAGAGGAGAAGAAACGAGAGGAATATTTTTCTTCTCCCTTTCGTCCCCTCATCTTCCACAATTTTGTCAGAAAAAGAGACAATGCCACGATAACAGGTCATCTCTACCCTAATTTCGACCGCGCGTGCCTCCTAATAAAGATCTTCCCTCGATTCTTCACCTTAATTGCTATCCACTACCACGATTCTCTCTTCTTCTCGATGCCATCTTCAAGTTCCGAGCAATCTCGAAGTGTTTCGCGTTGTCGCCAGGAAATTATTTCAATCTGAAGTCACGGGTCTCTGATAACAGATTCGAAGAATGAAATCGAACGAAACAAGGCCACATTCGACACACACGGATATCTTTTTTAACTCTCATTTACGCACACGAGAGAACCACCACTCGATCCACATCGTTAATTCAACTTGTTAACCTAGCCTCCCCTCCACTCCCCAACCCCTCGCGTCGAGGGAAACCGAAATCGACTGGCGCTAACGAGCAGGCTTCATTTGTTCGACGACTAATTAACTTAATTCATAAACCCGGCCGTGTTTCGCTCCGAGGATTTCGGTATTTTTCTGTAACCCGGCAGATGTTGCGGATAATTGAGTGGCCTGTTTCGTTCGATGGACAATGATATGCGCACACCGTGCACGATTTAACAGGTGATTAATCTCGAATGGTAAAATGGATCGCGCGTTGGATGGAACGAAACTGCGAGCGTGAAACTGACACGTGTATTTTTTTTTCTTTTCTTTCTTTTTTTTTTTTTTTATGCAATTATCCGCATAGGAAGATCGGATTAACTAACATGGCCGGTTCAATTATAGTTAATTTACTCGATGGGAATGACGTGTGTCACGCATCATCGGATTTCTTATTTTATTTTGTCGAGAGAATTTTTTTTTCTTTTTTTTTTTTTTTTTTTTTTTT